TATCTGATAGAAGTATCTTGCCCTTTGAAGGACTGTATCACCTTCTTGGCTTTTAAGATCTTCTGGGGAACTCCATCTCTCCATTCTACCACTTTCTCAAGCTTGTTTGGTGAGGACACAGGCTTTAGAATGCACTGCCCAGAGAAAGCTGGCTCCCTCCCTCTTGTCCTTCTATCATCAAGCAAAGACCCTCTTTAGGCAGACCTTTAAGTAGTAAGTTATTTCAGGAGTGCTGGTTTTTAACATATAGGTTTTTAATGTTTTAAATTTGTTTTTATACTTGATTTTTTAAATCTTAATTTATGTTTAATTGTTTTTAAAATATATTTATATAGTATTTTAAATTTTCTTATTTTACTGTTATGAGCAGCTTTGGGTCCCCTATGTGGAGAAAGACAGCATATATATAAACAAACAAACAAACAAACAATAAAGCTTCCCAATGAGTGAATACATAGATAATTACAGGTCTAAAAATCAAGTGACATTTGTACTTCAACCCTATGCTTCATCACATGGCAGTAACTATCTTGCTCCAAAGGAAGTAGAACTATAGACTGAATCCCCAAATATTTGGGAAAATGCAAAAAAAAAAAAATAAATGCCAAAAGAAAACCATTGAATCTCAAATAAAGCTTTCCAGTGAGTGAATACATAGATAATTACAGGTCTAAAAATCAAGTGACATTTGTACTTCAACCCTATGCTTCATCACATGGCAGTAACTATCTTGCTCCAAAGGAAGTAGAACTATAGACTGAATCCCCAAATATTTGGGAAAATGCAAAAAAAAAAAAATAAATGCCAAAAGAAAACCATTGAATCTCAAAAACTTTTTTAAAGCTTTATTATATGTTGAAGGAAGACAGTAGATGTATAGATCTTGTATAGATAAATAAACAAATATAGTAACACTACTGACAGAATAATTCATTAGTTTCCTAATTTGACTGCTTAATTTTAATATGAATAATAATTTTATCCTAATATATTGTTCCATAAATTTCCTTGTGGACTTTGAATTTGTTAGTTTTCTTCTCCTGTTGTATAAATATAATGGAAGCCATATTATATTGAAATCATTAGTATCTGTTTACTCATTAGTTCTTCTGATATCTCATGTTAGTCTTTTTGGCAAAGGCTATATCCCAAACATGTTTATACCAGCTATTTAAATAGTTTTTTCACTATTTTTCCATTTTCAGACCAATTCTTGTTTAGCAGCTACAAGTAGACATGTTAATACATTTTTGTGTACTCATTTTAAATTCTCACTTGTAAACCGATTAAGCAGGGCTAACAATGGATCAAAACAATTTTTACTTGTAATATGTTCTAATTTACCATATATCAGCTACAAAAAACTGGTCACAGTGAGACATAACCACCACGCATAAGAAGTCTGCCACAGATTCTCCAGTATGAATTTGTAGACTCTTTAGATATGTGTGCCTTTTTAACTGGTATTTGATAGCAGCAACATAAAACAACAACAGAAGCAACAATAATATACTGTCAAGTAGATTCTAATTTATGACAACCCTTTCCAGAGTACAGTATTCTTGGCAGAGAATACTCAGAGGTACTTTATAATTCCATTCTCCTGTGGCTAATCTGAGGTTGTGCAGTTTGCCCATGGCTGCACAAACTATCTCTTTTTCTGGGAGTCACAGTGAGGAATTGAATATCTAGGGTCTGGCTCCTACCTAAATCACAGAGCTATCCAGCCAGAATAATAAATTACCTTATATTTGAAAATAAAGATTTAAAGGGGTTTTCGATTCCATGTACCAATCTATAATTCTTCAGAAATTGTGCAATTTAGATCCTGTTTCCATATTATTTCAAACTGCACCCTCGCTGGGTACTTTTAAGAACCAACTAAAAACATGGATGTATAGGCAGGCCTTTCCTTCAAGTGAATTCCTGTACTCTTTCCTTTTCCCCCCTCTTTATTTGATTTATTTTTATTTTCCCCATCTTATAGAATCATTTAATTAATTAATTGTTATAAATTTATTAGAACTTGTTATCCTTATGTTGTAAGCCGCCTAGAGTGGTCGAAATGACTAGATAGGCGGGGTATAAAATAAATAAATAAATAAATAAACAAACAAACAAACAAACAAACAAACAAACTGTTATAAGTATATTAAACTGCATTTAGTACTATTTTATACAGAAATAAAACTACACTTTTTATAGCTAGAGCATAGCAAATAAAGCATTGCTTTAATGGTGTCAGCATTCTACCACCCTGCTGTTTAATTGCTTCTATATCTAAAACACTCTTGGTATTGTTAATAAGAAGCAAAAGTAAAATGTGACAGAAACAGGGCTAGAATCCTGAATACAATTTTTTCATCAACTGTCTTGCAGGGTGAAAAAAAACTGTTATAATAACCTCAGCAAATAAATTAATAAAAACAGAAAACCAAAATATCTCTTCTCTAAGAAATGAAGACATCAAAGAGCCATTTTTAATTAAGATGAGGGGTGCTGAAAGATCGATAGGAGAAAATAGTGTCTGATCAGAATACAATAAGAAAATGGAAACAATATACTGAAGAACTATACAGAAAATACAACAGGATGATAGATTCCTACAAAGAATACTTTGATGACAAACATTTCATTTTAGAAAGCGAAATGAAATCTGAACTCAAATCACTTGGAAGAATTTAAGCATTGAGAGTAGATGGGATACCAAGATAAATATTTCAAGCTCAAGGGATTGAATTTATCAAAATCTTACTAAGAATATGTCAGCAAATATGAAAAACAAACAACGGCTTACAGACTGGAAGCATTCAATATACATTCTAATCCTTCAAAGAGATGCCAAAGAGGGCAGTAATTATAGGAGAATCACATCAATGTACCATACAAGCAAAGTGGTACAAAAGATTTTACAACAAAGACTTTACAATATATGGAGGGAACAATGCCTGTGGTTCAAACTGGATTCAGAAAAACCTTTACAGACCACACTTCAAATATATGTTGGCTACCAGGATGATGTAGGGAATAGTGATAGTGACTAGTACTGAGGAGACCTGTTTTCAGATCTGTGCTCAACTATGAAAACTCATGGGTGGTGGTGGTGGTTGTTTAGTCATTTAGTCGTGTCCGACTCTTTGTGACCCCATGGACCAGAGCCCGCCAGGCCCTCCTGTCTTCCACTGTCTCCCGGAGTTGGGTCAAATTCACGTTGGTAGCTTTGATACTATCGAACCATCTCATCCTCTGCCGTCCCTTTCTCCTCCTGCCTTCACACTTTCCTAACATCAGGGTCTTTTCCAGGGAGACTTCTTTTCTCATGAAATGGCCAAAGTATTGGAGCCTCAGCTTCAGGATCTGTCCTTCCAGTGAGCACTCAGGTTTGATTTCCTTCAGAATGGATAGGTTTGTTCTCCTTGCAGTCCAGGGGACTCTCAAGAGCCTCCTCCAGCACCACAATTCAAAAGCATCAATTCTTTGGCGGTCAACTTTATGTTCCAGCTCTCACTTCTGTACATCACTACAGGAAAAACCTGAGTGGTAGAAGAACTAGTCAAATCACTCCATAAATATCTCACCATTAAAGCCCTATGAGGATCACTATACTGTAATTTGATGGCACATAATACATACAAAACCAGAACATACCAAGAAATTTCAGAGGAAAATCAATATATACTGTATATATAATAGTCTTTGGCTGTATTATGAAAGTACATGAATTATGAAACAGTGTAGACCAATCTAAAAGAAGTAAGTGTACTATAATGTTTGATTCTCCTAATGCATAACTGGTCCTTTGGATTCGTTGTCGTTTAGTCGTGTCCGACTCTTTGTTCCTTTGGATTAGAAGCTACTACAGTATTAGGTCGTAATGAGTAACAGAATAGTTTCCAGTCAACAAAGGTATCAGATAATGGTGTAATTTATCATCCTATCCAAATTATATGTAGAATGTATTACTGTATATGGAAAGATGGATTAGAGAAAAGAGGAAGGAGGGATGAACTTTGGTGGAAAAAACATGATTTAAGATATGTATATACCAAACTGTTGACATAAAATAGCAATGATGTGAAATGACTACTGAGGATGCCTAAAGAGGTGAATGCAAAAGGGGACTAGGTTTATCAGAAAAACAATCATGACTACAAAAGAATTACAAAACTTTAATGCTGAGAAAGAAAAAAAATTATTGGACTTCCTGTACCTTGGTTAATAAAAATTGAGGCTACAGGCAAGAAATCAGAAAACTGAGCCATGGAAGGACAGCTGCAGAGGTAAATGATCCTTAAGGACACGTTGCTGGGGATCCAAGGTCAAGATAATCCATTCTGCAATATTTTTGATCACTACATGCTTACAGGAAAACTGAACAAGAAAACAATTTCTGAAGTAGACACGTTAGCATGTTTCAGAAAGTTGGCAAAAGAAAAAACGATATAGCATTTTACAGACCAAGTTTTACGTCAGATTGAGCTTTTGTCAGAATTCTCTTCCTGTGTGTAAAGAAGTGGATTTTGATCCACAAAAATCACACTAAAAACAACTCTAATTGTGATGTTGAAGGAATGCTTTAGTCTGTGTAAATAAAAAATTAAAAAGCAAATAAAAATAGAAAAAACCATGATGGCACCTTACAGATGAATTTTTTTAAATGTGCGCTTTCGTGGACATTATTTTTAATGTGAGCTTTGTGGTTTATAAGAAAGGCCAATAAGTGGGTTCTAGCTCGACTTGAGCCTGAATTCTCCCTAGAAGCCAAAATGACTAAACCACTTCTGGACCGACCTAAAGCAAAAACAATTAAAAGAGTTCACTCTTAATGTGGATAGCATCACCCACCAGACCAATTACCCCCGCATGTGGCGGGCAACAAGGCAATGAGCGGGCGCACGTCCACTTGACGGGCGCAGGAGCCAAGGAACGTGCGTCAAAGCCCGTAGCGCTGCTCCGATTGGCCCTTCCACACAGAGACGCGTCGCACCAAAACATTGCGGGGCGTGACCAATAGCGAAGGGAGATGCGGAGTTCTCGAGAGAGTTCGCCTGAAGCTGGCACCGCCATGTTGGAGTAGGGAGAGGCCACAGTCAGCTCAAGTCGTTCTTCAGTTTTTTAAAAAAATACTATTAAAAAGGAAGACGAAGGCCTGCGTGAGGCAGCTTTTTTTAATTTATAATTCAGAGCTCCCGCAAAATTTTATTTGCAGAGGTGATAAAAAAGAGGCAACGGCGGTGGCAACGAAAGGATGGTGCAGTCCTGTTCTGCCTACCGTTGCCGGAATCGTTACGACAAAGAGAAACCTATTTCTTTCCACAAGTAAGTAAGGGCGAGGATTGGGAGGGGGAAAGAAAAAAAAGGTGACGGGAGAACGAGAAAGAAGCGCCCGCTCGAGCAGGCGGGAAAGGGGAAGCTGTCGTTTGCTTCGTAAAGCAGGAGCTAGAGCGCATGCGCTGACGTGTGTGTGGGGGGGATTCGGGTTTAAAAACTCCAGTACGTACATTGGCTCGGCTTTTGCTGGTGAGCGAAGCGAGAGCTAACGGCGCGCGCGCGCCCTCGCCCGTTTGGCGTTTGAAAAAAACAAACTGTTGGGAGGGGTCCCCGGCTGGAGGGGGCGGAACGCGCCTGCGCCGTGGGCTGCCTTAGGGAGTCTGAGGGCGCGTTCCCTCATTTTCCAAACCCCCCCCCCCGCCGCCGAAATTGTCCTCGTTACTGGAACAGCATGACTTAACGTTACGTTTTCCATGGCAAAGTTGGGGGAGCGTTAGAGTTTGCCAGCAACACAGCGAAGTCTTTCGTGGGTTTCTATAGGCGCTGGCGGGCGTATGGTTGCGGGAGTTTCTGTCGCTCTTTCGAGGCACCTTCGTGCCACAATAAATCTGGATTTTTAAAAAAATTATTTTATTTTATTTCTAAAGAATGAAAAGACAATCGACCATATTACAAATAGTAAATACAAAGCTATTCCCCACAATAAATCTGGATTTTAAAAGTTCCTCAAGGCGTCTGGACTTCGACAAGTCTCAAAGTGCTGTGGCTCTGCCCATCTTCTCACTTGTGTTTTGAGGCCCCACAAATCACGCTCACCTGCTTTCTGTGTGTTCCTCGACCACTGTTGTTCAGAGTGGAGGCCATGATCCTCAGCAGCAGTGTCTGAGGAGCAACCAACAAAGCGGACACCATGGCCCTCAGCAGCGGTGTCTGAGGAGCAACCAACAAAGCGGACATCAGTTTCCTCTCTCGGGTGCCCAGTTTCTCCCTGATTGCGGCATTCTTATCTCAATCATGTTACGACTTTGAAACTTTGCAGATGATGATGTTGCCACATATAAAAGGCCATTGGAGCACGACTTCTTCATGTGTATAAGCTGTGATGGCTAAATGGAGCTTCCCTGTTTAGAGGCAGTCTACCATGGCAGTGCCTGAGGAGCAAGTGACAGAAGGGAATGAGAAAATTTCCCTGAAGAGAAGTGAAGAAGGTCTGGAAAAAAAAAGGTTGGGAGGACCAAATGGAATTCAGGTGTTCCCTTTAGAAGAGGCCTGAGGACAGCTTTATTCTTTTGGAATGTGGTGTGGGATGTGTCTATATGGAATGTACATAATGAACTAGCCTGCCTGGCAGATGTTACTGCTACCACAAAGCAAACTTCCAAGAGAAGGCGTTACAAAAAGGGAAAGGCTGTAAACCAATTACAGTAAAACAATAATTCAGTTTCACGATGGCACTGAGGGCAGCAATTGGACATCTTTTGAAGAAAGACTTTAGCATTTTCTTGGGTGGGGGAAGGGCACTCTGAGGATAGCACAAAAGTTACAGAAATTGTTTTGAGATACGATTGGAAAGATGGAACAGAGAGGTAATTATCTGTTGGATTAAGTGGAAAGTGAAAACTGCCACTGGCTTGTCACATTTGTGGAATCAACATTGGCAAGATAAAATCAATCGAGAAAAACAAGTCCATTTAAGCACCATATAGCTGAAGAATCAACAGTGTCCTATAGCACATCAAGATCTTTTAAATTTATGAAGAGAAGGCTTTAGTCAGATTTTCCAAACTAAGATTAAGAATGTGAAGGTCCAGGCACCTGACCTCCCAGGGCTTGGAGAGTAAGGAGAGCTGGGATCATGGGTAGCTGGATTCTTAGAAAAATCCATCAGGTGCTTCTGGAAAAGCTGGGTTCCTGGTGACCGAGAAGCTCCTAACAAAATTAGCAAAATACAACTGTGTGGCTGCCATTCATCAAAATAACAAAGCAAGAGTACTATGGAGCTTTTCCCGAGCTTAAAAAATGAAGAAAACACACTACATCACTCATCATAATGTTCAATTAATTTCCTAACTTTTGAGTTGTATCTTGTTTTACACGATTGACATATCCTGCCATTATTGTTTTTTCCCCCACATACCCTTACATGTCCCAGTTTGTATGTGTACCCCAGGTTGGGAATCACTGATCTATATGTATCATGTGCAGTGGACCCTTGACTTACAGACGGCTCAACTTACAGACTTTTCGAGTTACAGACTTCTCTGGCCGCAAAATTTAGGTTCGACTTGCAGCCAGAGAATTGACCTAGAGACCAGAAAAAAAGGAACAAAAACGGCCGGTTACGGGCTTAATCGGTTTTCAATGCATTATAGGTCAATGGAGACTCGACCTACAGACTTTTTGACCTGCAGCCACCGTTCCAATATGGATTAATTCCATAAGTAGAGGGTCCACTGTATCAGAAACTATAGAAAGAATCCAGTAAATTTTCATTGGCCATCTATACCCTCAAAACCTCTGTTCTGGTTCTGGTAGGTTAAACTTAGGGCTTGTCTACATGTCTGGCCTAGAGCAGACTAAACAGGGTTACTAGGAGGTCTGATATGTGATTCTTGCATCCAAATGGCAGATGGATCTCAAGCGACCTCATTTGGTCCACATCAGCTTGCTGTCAATTTGCCAGTATTGTGAAGTAGAGATCCACTTAACGATATTGGCAAATTAAACACTTGTCTCCTGCTTCTGGGTGGAAGTTTTGCATGTGTGTATGTGTTTATGTGTATATATAAATATATATATTTAAACTGATACAGTACAATTTTGCTGCCCTAATAAAGTCCAAACTGAGGAGTAGGGGAAGTGTTTAATTAGCCAATATTTTGCTGCAGCTCTCTTATTAAGCCACTTCACAAGAATAGCAAATGAAAAGAGGAAGGCTTTTGGTTCATTCCCAGCAATCACACACACTTGAACTGAACTGAAAGAGAATGATCCTACCCACACCAAAAAATATAGAAACCCCTGACAGGAGCCAGAAGAATGCCAGTAAATCATATGATTTACAAAAGTAATGAAATTTGTGGTTCGGTTCTAGTGTTGCTTAGAATTATGTAACTTGAGAAGGGGCAGAAACCCCTTTCCTTTTCAATTATTTGTTTACCAAATAAGTGAAATGTGTAGACTTAATGCCAGGTTTTAAATCAATGGTGTGAAATATATCACTTTCTATAAGTTAGTCTGCAGCTCTCATCATTCCTTATCTGTGGCAGTGTTGGTTAGGGTTGATGGAAGCTACAGGCCAACATTGTGTGTGTGGAGGAGGACTACAGGAAACAATCCTGGTTTAAATTTTATCCCATTGCCTTCCTTCTTGTATTCACAAACTCTTTTTCTTGTTAAAATTGCAAAAGTTGAAATGTGGCAGTCGAAAAATCAGCAGTTTGATTCAAAATGAAAGTGGTTGTGGAGTCAGATATAAAAGACAGAGCTTCTAAATTAAGGAATTGACTTCTGATTTGCAAGTATGAGTGGGGAGCACTCTTCTTAGCTAATAGAATGGGGATGTTGTACCTGCCTGATGATCCCAGCCATTACATATAATTTCATTGGATTCATTTCTGAGCAACTCTGTTTATGACTACCACCTTTAAAGTACAACTTGTACACATTTTCTTTAAGTAGATTGGGTGATATTCAGAATATTTGAGACTAACATGAGGTGATAATGCACTCTTCTGTAGTGTACAGTGAAGTGTGGATAATGACACGCTGAGGGAATTTGGTGTTTCTTTAAGTAGATTGGGTGATATTCAAAATGTTTGAGACTAAGACGAGGTGATAAAGCACTCTTCTGTAGTGTACAGTGGATAATGACACGCTGAGGGAATTTGGTATATTCTGATTGTCTCTTTTGAATGAAATGTCTGCTAGTGTAATATGGTGTTCACTTACAAGAATGATATGGATTATAAACTCATTACTTATTTGAAGACCATGTAAGAAGAATAAAAGGCATTTTTTCCATGTCTAGATACAGAGTGATATATTAAATGATGCTATGGCAATGTGGAATATTTCTTCAAATGTAGCATATCAAGATCAAGCCAGGTCGGAGAGGCCCATACTAACCAAAGGCCACACTGCCCAAATTTTCTTGGTGCAGGTAAATTCCTGGAAGGCTATATATGCTGGTGGCTTGGGAAAATCCTTAAAGAGTCTAGGCTAAAACTAAGTAACTTCTCTCACTTTTATACCCATCATTCCACTTAGGAAGGCTATATATGCTGGTGGCTGGGGAAAATCCTTAGAGTCTAGGCTAAAACTAAATAACTTCTCTCACTTTTATACCTATCATTCCACTTTCTATCTAGACTCTTTGAGGCAGATCTGGGCAAAATGTGGCCCTCCAGATGTTGCTGAACTGCAACTCCCAGCAATCCTAACCCACACAGCCAATAGTGAGGAGTGTTGGGATTTGGAGTTCAGCAACATCTGGAGGGCTGCATTTTGCCCAGATCTGCGAGGGGATGTGGCAATCAGGTGTTGAATTACTCTAAACCTTTTCAGAGTAATTTCTCAAGAGGAACTTCTCTCCCCCTTCTCTTCAGATTTTTTGCCAATTACCTCTGTACCAAGGAGTGAGCTGTGGTCTTGGAAGGTGCAGATGGGTATGGCTTCTCAATTAACGCTTCTGGCCTACTCATCCCAGGCATGAACTAACGTGCCTGTTTTTTGAATGGGCAATCGAAACAATGATCCCATTTTCCAGTTTCTTGACCTAGCAATACATCCCATGTGATATGTGTAGTCTTTGGTCTAACCACTACAGTTTTGGTACTAATTAAAAGATGCTCAAGATACAATTTGTTTATAGGTTTCCTCTCACAAGACCTGACCTCTGCAAGAAATGGGAAGCTGCTGTTAGAAGAAAAAACTTCAAACCAACAAAATATAGCAGCATTTGTTCTGAACATTTTACTCCAGATTGCTTCAAAAGGGAATGCAACAACAAGCTACTAAAAGACAATGCAGTGCCAACAATATTTTGCCACACAGAACCAAATGTGAAGGTAAGCGAAGTCTGCAGGTTTCTAAAGCCTTCTTTTGTTCATAGATATGCTTGTTTATGTATAAGCAGCACTGTTATTTCCAAGCAATATGATGAGGAGAGAACAGTACTCAACACCAGAAGGGAGAAAATTGAATTAATTCCTGCTTCTTGGTGTATTAGCTGGAATAGCTTCTCTACTACTCTGCCATGCTTTCATAAACCAAGCTATTTGTTATTTATTTAAAATATTTATATGTTGCCTTTCTCTAAAAGCTAAAACAATACATTATTACAATATTAAAAGAATAAAGCAAATATATTAAAACTAGTAGATGAAAATAGTAGTAAATCCATATTAGAAATAACAACAGAAACACAACAGTCCCATTAACTCTTAATAATTGTGGACTTCAATTATGAAGCATAAAAAGGCTCATTTATTTATTTTTATTCATTTATTTAATTTATACCCCACCCATCTAGACTGAAGTCTACTTTGGGTGGCTAACAACACATTCATAAAAACAATAACAGTATAAAATAAAACAACAACATAATATGATTCATGATGGCAAAATTAAATTAAGTAATGACAGGAGGGAAGGCCTGGCTAAAGAGCCAGGTCTTAAGTTTGCTCTAAAAAACAACCAGCGAGGGAGCCAGACAAATTTTTTGGGGGAGACTGTTCCAGAGACGAGGGTTGCAACTCTGAAAGTTTTATTATTCCTGTTGAACACTCCCTCTTCCTGCAAGAAATACTTTAGGATCTGATACAGGTTTCCAGCAGAGTTTGGTGAGAGTGCATGAACTGTGATCTATGCATCATCTTCAGTCAGTTTTCCTGTTTCACCGTGGCTGAAGTGCTAATTTGGGGAAATTTGTA